CGTCGTGTACAGTGTGACGTTCAAACAGTGATTACCACTGCACCGTGCTTGCTTTTTGCTGCTTCATGTCTTCGTTTCCTATTTAAGTTGTCAGCGCTTCCGAAGAAAGTAGTGTTCTTCAGTCGTGTGCATGTTGCACAGAACAGTATTTCAGGTCTGAGGCTCATTTGAGTGGTGGTGGAGGGTTTTTTAAATATGGAGACATGTATTTCAGGGTTTTTTTCTTTCCTAGTTTGTTTATACTCTCTTATAGACAAACTTTTAAAGAGAGAGGTGGAACCTGACTGGTGATTTGTGCCTATTCCTCAAATACATAACTAGTTGCACTTGTTCACTTATCTTTCAGACCCACTGTACACATGATCAAGTGAAAAGGACCATTCAAAGTCAAATGTCCATGTTGAACTTCTTGGTGATAAAGTGGTAGGCGCTCACATATGCACCTTTTATTTCTGTGTGTATGCATACACCTGTGTAGAAACTCTGTCTCAGTTCTAAGCCGCTCCTTTAAAACAGCAAAATAAAAAGCAAAGGAAGCAGTTTTACCTAAACCAAGACTTAACATGGGCAGTAACCATGATTGCTGTCCCAGGGTGACTCTGTAGCAGCAGCCTAGAAATGTCCAGTTTCGTGTCCTGAGTAATTTCCTAAATTGTATGTCAGTATTTTTAACAGAGTACCTCCAAATGCTGTTAACAATAGCTTGTGTATGTTATTAAGATCTAATTAAAGAACTGGACAGTCGTTGGGCTGTTGTTCAAGCAGAGCTGTTATAAAATGTGTCATTTCACATGGTGCCGCCTCACTTACCTTGGGATATTCTTACACTACAGCTCAAGGTAGCATGCTTAGACAATTTAAAATGAACTATGTAGCAACAGCTAAGCAGCCTGTAAAGATCGCAAAGCCATCCTGATTCTTCGTACTAGGTTAGTGGAATTTAACTTCCTAGCTAAGCCCTTAGCTAGTTAGCCCATGTTTAGCTCCCTGGTGCATTTGCTCCCCTGCTATCGTTCTTCACCCTAGCTAGTTCAAAACCAGCTAGGGCATGTCTATGGAAGTTGCAGTCACACCCTTAGACAGCGGTGATTGATGGCTGGACAGGCTGCATATAGGTAGAATGCCAAATGAAAAGAGGCTTGATACTACTGCACAGTGAATTGGATTTTAAACAAAGAGTCCTCCTGCTATGCGAGCGCAGTCAAGCTATGCACTTGACTGAGCCTGCAAGGCAGACATTCTGAACTCTGAAACTCCGTTGCTATACAGCGAGGAGAGAACCTCTGAGCAGCTTTCCAACAATGGAATCAAGAAACATTTTTCTGAAGAATGTTTCTGGATGTCTTACCCCATTATCTCAGGCTCTTTCTTATATCTACATGAAAAAATGTCTGTTTGTCTGCCTCTCTGTAGAGAGACATACACATGGAGCTGGAAACATTGCCTGTCATCACAGAGATCCCTGCAACGGTATGGCTGTGTTAAGAGTTCAGACCAGACAAATGTTGCAGATGGTGACAGACTCTGACTTGCATAAAACATGTTTTAAGCATATGAATCAGCAAGTGCATAATGTGCAATTCAAAACAATGCAACTTTGAATTCTTAATCTATAGCATCACAAAATGGGGTGGACAGGGGTTGCGGTATTAGTTTATAGGGTTTTCCAAACTCTTAAATTCCCTGTGAAGAGAAATGAAACAAAAATGCAGTCTCATGCACAGCAAGCAGCTACTCGTAGTAGGGTGCCTAGATCTTCACCGTGTGACACCCTCTTACACTCTGGTGAGTGAGTGTGCTTGAGGTGTCACCACTGCCCTAGATGCATGTGAGTTAGCACCCACTGAAATGAAAAGGGCAATTCACAATTCAAATCTGATTTCAGGCTTTACAGAAGCTCAAGCCAATATAGCTATATCACTTATACTTGAGTCACAATGGCAAAGATTTATTTGCAACCATAAATTTAGAGATTTAAGGCATAGCTACCCAGGGAAATCAGTGGTTAGCAGGAAGGGTGTGGATTTTTTATGTGATCATTTCCATGTTCTAATTCCCGTTGAGATATTTTTAACACATGCTAAAATAGTTACAGTATAAAATAATATAACTTTACTCTGTAAGTGGAATATGTTACTTCATTTCTAGAGCACATGAAATAGGAGGGAAGTACATGGGGTAATGTGCTAGAAGTTCACATTACTGCACATTCACAGTTACCACACACTAACTTCTTTATGTAACAAACTGTTAGACCCTTTGATTTTAAGTATAAGTTTAGACACTGGAAAACAGCCAGAAGACATATCTGTGCATCTGCTGCTAGTCTGGTATGCTCCATGTCTTGAGAAGTACCATCTAACCAGCTGACAGCATTAGCATATGTATGCCGCCTTCTTTCCCCATCCCTAATGTGCAGTCCTGTAAATCACAGCAAGCTGAAATTGTGATCTCTTTAACGCTGTTTGAAATCGCTAAATCACTGCCTCTCTTCTTTGTGTCCACACAAACATTAGGTAAAGGCACCAATGTTCAGAAGTATGTTCAGCGTCTTGGTCCGTTTCCCGGACTACAGTCTGTGCTTGGAGGGCAAAGATCCAGTGCTTCCATTTATTGACCGAAGGTGGAGAGGGAGGGCTCAGCAGCGCCTGGAGGCTCTTCAGCAGCTTGCTGCGTAAGTGTTCTGTGATTGGATAATTTAAAACAAACATACAAACAAAACCAACAAAAACCCATGCATACTGAAGTGGAGATGACTGCAATTTGCTCCTACTTATATTTCCCTTGAAATTAAGAGATTGCAGCTGTTACAGAGTATGGTTGCCCATCTGTTTCTTATAGGGTAGATGTTGCACATTCCATCTTCTCTGTGCTATCTGCTTTGCAGCGGTTGCCGGGAAAGAGAAGAGAGTTATTTCAGTCTCTTATACATCAGATAAGTCATGAAGACTTGGGTGACTCAAGTGTGTTACTGCAGCAGGAGCTGTTTCCTTTGAGTCCCATGCAGTTGCAGCTTTTTAGATTGCTTTTGCAGCTCATTAAAGTGTGTATGGGGCCTGAACCGGGGCACCACATTTTTGATGCAGGGGGTTCTTAGTTGAATTTTCTCCTGGCCTCACCCCTGAGGCTTCTGATTCAGCAAATACTTAAAAAAACGTTTATAGGTTTTGTCACACCATGTGTTTTTTGGACTCCTGTTGTAGCTGCATTCAAGACTGCAGGTATCAGACTAGGTAGTTTTCAGAGATTTTTTCTGCATTAACAAGCCAACTTTAGACCATGGGTTTTTCAGATTATGTGTGCTCTGGGGTTGCTGATAACTGAGTTCTACCACATGCCAGACAGTAATCAAAGATGTTTTAAGAGTGATACAGCAGATTTCACACCTGGTTTTGTTCAGTTTCAAAAGCATACTCTTCTCATTTCCGTAACAAAGCAAGAATTTTGGAGTCCTTTTTTTTTATTATTCAGCATTTCAAACTGTCCACAACACACAAAAAACTCAGTGGCTTCTTATATTTTGCCTGTTATTCTGTAACAAGAACTTATTTGACACCTGCGCTGCTTTAAAATTGATTTACATTTCAACCACACGTATTTGCAAAATGTCTTGAAATTAACAAAAAATGGGAAATACATTCCCCCTGTTTCAACCTGCACTGATCGACAGTGTTGCTGATGCAGAAGACAGAATTTCCCAGCTGTCTACTCAGTAGTTGCATTTCCTCTGCAAGGTTACCAGGAATAAATGCTCATTTATTTCAGCGAAGTCAGCAAATAGAAGTCAAGGACATGCAAGAGGCAGGATCTGTCGAGTGAAAGGGGCTATTTCACTGGGTTCCCATTGTGCCTATAACTATACCATAATAGGATGAACAGCTTATGCTAATAAAGTTAGATCATAAGAATAAGTGCCCACCTGTGCTAAATGAAACACAAATCCATCTGGATGGAGCAACAGTCTGATACGTAAAGAGTCAGCTAGTGAACTAGCCATCAGCTCAATTAGCTCATTTGAATTACAAACACAACTTCACAATAATAGGTTGATTAGTGCTGAGCAAGTATCTCAGGTTACCACACTGCATCTCGAAACATTCCCCTCTCTTTTGTTATGTGATATGACTGAAATCACTGGGAAGAGATGACTTTAAACTTACCTTGGCAGTAAATTGTATGTCACAGAAGGTTAATGAAGCCTCTCTTTATAGGCTTTGCTGTAGTGGGTAGGCATACTCTGGCTCCCCGAATTCCACAGCGCAGCTCCCACCGCTTAAATGAGGTGTTTGAAGACAACTGATCTCAGCATGCGGTCCTCTTTCTATCCCAGCGTCGAGCAATGTTACGTATTGTTAATTGTATCTCTCTAAGTATACTTCTGTATTTAAAATTAGGCATCGGCAACAAACTCCAGCACCGACAATCCCATACATCTGAGGTCAGGATTCTTACATGTTGCCAAAAATGGTCTTACAAAAAACATGACCTTCAGGTTTAGCCATATGTATAGTTTAAGGAAATACTTACCTTAATGGCATGATATGGGCGTGGTTTTTTACTTTGAAGAGCTGCTGTTTCTTGTCTTTAACCACCTTGCAGATTGAGAAGAGTAAAACTGGATTATAAAGTGGTTGTGAAATCACATAGCAATCCTGATGCATAGCCTTCAAAGGACTCAATTCTATCCCATTCTCTCACTGATTGCCGTAATGAGGTCTACCTCATGGTCTTCCAAAGCTGTAAAACAAAGAAAACCCTCCAAGACGTTGTAGTGAAAAATTTAAACAGTCTGACTGCTTTAAATTCAAAATGGGGAAAAAAATGAAGAAAGACTGTTCTCGCAAAAGATATGCTTGTTGCAGCATAGGTTTTGAAATATTCACATGGTCTTCCTAATTTTTAATTGAGAATTCAGACTGAAATAGCTGATTCTAAAATTTTCCACATTTGCTCAAAGTCTCTATAGCTACTTTTGAAAGGTGGAAAGTGGTAGTCTTTGTTCATTCTACTTCTTTACACATATTTTCTGTTACAGAAAGTTTTTCATTTTTAAGGAAATGAGCTTGCTATCCCCACTCCCAATACAAGTAGTTTGCTTTACCAGGTCAAGCATTTACAAGTGGTCAATCCTTTTTATGCCAAGCACGTAAAAAAGTTTTATTAAAGGCAGCAAATAACCATTACTTGCCCACAGATAGTGGGAAATATACATAAAGTGTCAAACTGTTTTCCTATGTATAGAAGTATGAAAAAAGCAAACTATAATTGCTTGTATGAGTATGAGGATTTTGTGGCATTTGTAGTGTGCATGTTTGATTATGCAACCAGAGAAGCAGAGAGATTTACAAAAAAAAGCATAAGAAAAAATGATCAGAACTGCTCTGAATGTACTACTTAAATGATATCCTGTATTTTGGCTTTTAGAGCTCAATCTTCTCTTCAGATACCTCGAATTCCCTATGAAGATCCTGAAATTAGTGGAAGGAACCGCTACAAATATTTTGCACAGTAAGGAGTGAACTGATTTGAAACAGAGTTCAGAAGCTTGCTTTTGTGTGCATTAAAAAGCACCTAAATAAATGCCAGAGCCTTGTCTTTTCTCTCAGCTCTTTGATTACTGCTATAGAAAATCTTAATAGTAACCAAATCTTAAATCACAAGGTCTTTTTAGATTCATACTATGCCAGAATTTTCAGATAATGAGTTACCATAGAAGTACAAATGTACCGGGCATTCTGTACTTAATAATTATGTAGCTTAGTAGAAAGCTTTGGGCTGTACGTCCTCCTACACAAAGGAAGAAGATGCTCACAAAGCTGTTGTGGTTTATCAGACTCCTGGAAAGGTGCCTTCTTAAGGAGGAACCTTTTAACTCCCAGTGTCTGCCAGGAGCAGAAAGGGAGGAGAGGGAGTCCTTGATTAACTTTTCATCACTGTCTTCTACTGCAGGACTGCTCTGTTCCTTCCAGAATGACACTACAGGTCAGCAATGGACTCAAGATCTGAACCAACAGCTAGTGTACAAACATTGTCAACTTAGTCACACATACTTTGAATTACATTCGCTATTATAGTCAGCAGCTATTGGCCAATATGTCTACTTTAAATATAAAAAAATTGCCAAGTTTAAGAAATTGAAGTTATGGCTCCTTTAACAACAACAAAACAGATGATGTTATTGTCTGCAATTTTAAATTAAGCTTTAAACTCTCTCAAAGGCTAAGGGAAATTGATAGTGAACTGCAATATGGAAGCTTTAAGAATGCCTAAGAAGGAATTATTAATATGTCGTTGAGCCCATATACCTTTCAAGATACTTTACAAAATACTGCAAAAAAGGAAACAATCAAATTATAGAAGTCCAAAGCAGCTTACCTTACCAGCTAATTGTAGGAATTCATTTCAGGATTTCAAGAAGTTATTAAAAAACCCCTCTCTTAAAAGCTCAAAGTGAAAAAAGTAAACTAATTAGTGAAACATACACAAAATGTTGTGAGCACCCTCAAAACTAACTTCTTTTAATTATTGTCTTGTTTTGCAATTCCACTTTCTGCTTTGACAGAAGAATAACATTCAGTCCCACTGGTGAAACTTTCTCTGTTACTCCTTAGCAATGAAAGAATTATTTAATATTCAGGCACAATTCTTAAATGTTCAACTAAAGAACCTGAAGTGTGGAAAATCAGTGTAACTCTACTGAGATTAGTGGACTGCAGTTTTTCTAAACCATAATGATCTTTTACGCTCATGGCGGTTGTCTAATATCTGCATTCTCTCTTTTCAGACCTCTCATCCCTTCTAGTAAGCTGCTTCCACTCAATGTTGCTTACGCAATGGCAAAGTAAGTAGTGAGTTCTGGAACATTACCGTTGTAATGGGTTATATCTCACCAGAAAAAGATTGGGAAACTATTTAGCTGGTAGCCAAGATTTTTCCTAATGAACCAACAGGAAAACTTGTTAAGAGCTAAGAGTTTGTTTAGCATTGAAAATTCCTAAGGAAACAGGTGACTGTTTCAGAATTTGCTTGCAGTAATGTCAGTAGTGCTTTGTGGGTAAAGGACACGTGCCTCAAGTGCGTTATAAATATGAGGCCTGAAACAGAAAGCCAAGTGTCTCTGAATCCTAGAAGAGATACTGATGCAAAGAATATTCTCCAATACAGCAATACTGGTGTTTTATTACAATCTCTGTGATAGTTGCAATACTGTTCAGCGTTGCAGAGCATCCATGAAGTAGTCTAATGTGGTTTTCAGTGGGGATCAAATTTTGAGGGGACAAGAGACGATTCAGTTCGTAGTAGGGATAATGATGTAAGCACGTGCTTACATCAGAATTTAATTTTTATGCTGGAATTATTGGAAAGACAAATGTATCTCAATTGAGGCAATCCTAATGCATTTTACACTCAACCATTAATTACTTTTTGTGCCCATTAAAACCAATGCTGTAGAGTGGATACATAGGGAAGATTCGCATGTAACAATTGTGAGAGCTGAAACCAGAAGATTTCTGGATTGTTTACCTAAAGAGGGAGGTTTCAGAGGACTCAGTGTAGCCTCAGTCTGCTTTTACTAAATATAATGGAGTTAGCATCAATGGGAGCAATGATAAGATAAAATAAAACACTTTTGGATATCCTGCCTTTGACTTAGTGCTGTGTTTCAGTTTTGTTTTTCTCTAACGAGTGTGACACATGTTCTTCCATCTTGCATCTCTTTTTAGGACAGAGCCCTGTGTCCATTCAGCTGCAAGAGACACCAAGGCCTTTGGTCCCAAGTTACGAACTTTGGGCACACAGACAGATTACAGGGATGGTGAAGCCCAGACGGATCCTTATTCCCCTGAATATGTAGTTCCCAGTGGCTCCATCCCTGAACTTCTGACACTTGCTACACTCACCTGGGGTGAGTTGTGAAATCAAGATAAATGATAATAATCATGTCGCTTCTTTAGGAGGAGGTTATTTGTTTTTTTCAATGTCAGGTTTAAAGTCTGTTGCCAGCTTTGGAAGCCCTTTGTTGTCTTCCTTTGGGGTATAATATTTTATCTATTTCTGAAACAGGTGTGATGTTTTCCTACTTAATAGCTCTGTTCTGGGGCATTTCATAAACAGTTTTGAGATCATTCAATATAAAAAGGTCACATTTTTTACAAATACAAACTAGATGCAGTTTTTCCATTTACCTACCGTTCTTCAGCTGTTCTGAGACACCAGTAAAAAAAGCAGTATGAACACTGCTGTCCCAGAATATACCTGTGATCCTCATCTCCCAGTGTTCCACCTGCAGTCATGATGGACACTGGACATGCCAAAGAAAGTGCTCATTCTCAGAAAGCGTCTTCTTGGAAAAGGTTTTCCTCCTTTGCAGCCTGCAGTAGAGGAATGAAGTGTTAATGTCACCTAAGCTATAGCAGCTGCAGGTCCTACCATTCCTCATCCTGTAGAATTTTACTGGCCTTCAAAGTATTTACTCCTGGCTATTGACAGTTCTGCTTGTGTTTTAACATATGGGCTTGTGCCCATCCAGCCCCCTAATACTTTTTGATGGTGGGTATTTGCTGGATTCACCATTCTGCTAAAGATCTACTGCTTCTTGTCCCTGTAAGGTCGGGGGCTACCAGCAGGATTAGCTGAGGTGGAGATGATTGAACGTGCCCGGGAAAAACGTGGATGGGAAGCGACTCTTCCAGCCATGGACAGTGCCTCACGAATAGCGAAGAGGAAGAAAATGATGGACGATATGGAGAGGAAGGAGTGGGCCTTCAGAGAACAGGAAATAGAGAAGTAGGAGTCCAATTATACTCTTTATTTCTTTTAATCATTGGCTGAATAGAGAAGGAACAAGAAGGTTTAGGGGATAGGCTGAAGGGTACAAGCCTTTTATTTCTGCGAAAATCCCTTGATCTTGGGAAGGGATGTTTTTGTTAAATTTAATATAAAAGACTGCTACCACAATACTTTTCACCAGTGCTAAACTCACTTTTTAAAATGAAAGATTAAATATGAGTTATGCAATATGAAGTATGTCAGTTGTCAGTAAAGCAGTCAGTTGGTATGTAAGATTTGATGATGACAGCATTGCACAGAACACTGCAGAGTACAGTGGCTCATACCTGGCCTTTTCTTTCCTTGCAGGTTGCAGGAGGTTCGACTGGAAGTCTTAAAGAAGCTGCTGCAGAGGCGAGAGGAGAATCAGAATGAGCTGGATGCCAAGCGCTTGGATGACCACTGGCAAAATCATCAGAAGGCTAAGGAAGAGAAAATAAAAAAGATTCAGCACGACTATGCACTGAGTAAGTTTGAAAGACAGGGAGAGAGCAGTATGAGACTTAATTTTCAGACAAGCCATTTCTAGTTTCACAAGATTGCAGTCTTTATTCAAGATGAAACATGTTGCATTCACAATATAGATATGCATGGCCAGCATTTGTTCTGGTCAAACAGGTCATGTTTTTATACTGACTAGCAAAAGCTCTTGTGAATTTCCAAAGATACGGCTTTTTTGGAACTATTTATATGAAGAACCTTCTCACATTTGTATTTCCTTTTCAGAGCTCAGGAAATTGATAGCTAAGAGGAATAATGTGATGGGGAAGCTGGAGAGACGTGATATCATCAAAGAATATACTGACTTTGCATCACAAACATACGCTCCTTTGTCTAGAATTGGGTATTTCCCAGACAACCATTCTGAACGCTATGTGGTAAAAAACTTCTATCTTAACACATTTGCAGGTAAGGCATTTTGGAAGACTTAGTTTGTATGAGAAATTTACTTAAAATATTTAGAAAACTCAAATTTTTCTCCCCACCACTCCATTACTTAATCGCTGTTTGTATTTCTTAGGACTGTGTGAACTGGAAGCATCTCTCCCAGATTCTGTCACCCAGGTTAAGATTAAAGCTCCAAAACCTAAGTACATTACCACTAAGACTGGATTTATTAAAAGATCAGCAAGACTAGAGGTAGTGCTGGCACAAGTTCACCAGGTATGGAGCTGCATCCAGCAGCATGTCAGTTCCTCTTTGATTTGAACTGCTCAGAAATGCAATTGGGAAGGAAGATGTAAGCTTTCTCCCAGCTTCCTGTGCTAAATTCGTGTTTTCTGTAAGACAACTTCAAGGACAGAATGGATCAAACAGACTGTTGTAGCCATGACAAGTACCACTCTGGAACTCAGTCTGTCAGTACTGCCTCTCCCTAATATCTGTGCTTCTGCTCCAACCATATAGCATAGCTACTTTTGTCTTCCTACAGACCATGTACTTGGATCAGAGCATACTATGTCAGTTAGAGATTCTCATCTGCCATTTGCTCATTCTCATTTCTCCTTTGCTTTTATAATGCACAAGTGGCAAGCCTACTGGTTACAGTCAAACTACTAGCAATTAAATGAACCAAATCTGGATTCATATTCTAAAAATTCTGTACATTTTTAAACAGACACATTTTAAGTACATTTTGTAAAAACACCTGCAGCAAAGCATGATTACAATGACACCACTCATAAAATGAGATCAGAACGGTGCATGCACATCACTGTTGTTCCCTAACAACAGCATCTGATTTGCAAACATGCTAATAGTGCTTTGCGTACCTTAATTTATCACAACTGCTCATGGAGGTGAGGTGTCCATATATGCAGTTAACCAATGAGGAAAGAAGTGCCTTATTTGCATCTACAATCACAAGATAGGTATATTACGTATACTTTTAAGTATGCTTCTTGTGATGCTGTTGAGGGTTACCTTTTTTTAAAATCAGGTGTATTCTTGGCTGGCTGTTGTATCTCTGAAAAATATTGAATTTCATGTGTAAAGCTTGGCAACTTTCACTCATGCTTTGCTTTGTGAAGAAATATTTCATAATTGGAAATTACATGTATAGCTTTCTTATTTTAGTGTAATTTAATAATACTCTCAATGCAGACAGTAACTTTCTACTAATGAATTTAAGTTGAAATCTTGTTCTGAAAAATCAGTCATGGTATCTCAAATTTAAATTCCACTGGATCTTGTGAGAGATGAAACACTGCATCTGATTATTATTCAGAAGGAAAATTTTCAAATATAATCTTGAGTACTACAGGAGTTGTTGAAGAACTAAGGACATTAATTCACTACAGTTTTAGAGAAGATGACACCACAGTATTGAAGGGGTTTCAAGTTTGGGTGCTTTTGCATAAAATTCAAGTAGTAATTACGTTTAATCTGGATCGTAAGCTGGTTCTCATAGGCAGCAGAATGTTAGCCACGGCTTGCAGAGCTGAATTCCAATTACAGCAATTGTATTCTGTTAGTTCAAAATAATTCTCATGGTTTGAAGGACTACAGTGGAGCCTCCAGACTGTAGTTGCAGAGAAGTGTGCCCTAATGCTGGCTGCTCACACAGTAGTGTCTCTTCAGAGAAAAATCGGTGGCCAAAGGGAGATGGAATGCAGAACAAAAGCAGACAATTCTGCATATTTTCTTTCTTAAATCAATGTAGATCACTTGGTCTACATTGATTTATACCAGCTGAGGGGCTAACATACTCATTTCTGCACCACAAAAAGGCAAAATAGATATTCCTTTAAAATCACAAAGCATTTCTTTTGCAGGCAAAGATGATAAATCCACTATGCAAAATTGAACTGCTGCTTTTAGATCCACAGAAGTAGAAACCAGACTGGTTGGTCCAGACAAGCAGAAAGTACTGACACTGTGATCCAGCCAGACTGCCTCAGCCACCATTGGATTTAAACAAACTTTCTGTTCAGAGCAACAAGAAATTACTGCCCTAATTAGTGCTTGAGCTCTGTGGTGCTGTTACTGGTCACTTCTCCCATCAGAGGCTTTTTCTTCTTGAGTATGGTGGCTACAGCATGTTCTGGCTTCACAGGGCCTCCTCATAAGCTACTGGAGCTGTCAAGAAGAGGGCGGTAAAGGGTGCAGAGTTAACAGAATTTAGCACTTGGGAGGACAGCTGTCTGACCGCTTTGGATGAGCAGTCCCAATCGTGCCAACAACCTCCCTCACACACAGTAGGAAAGAGCTTTAAAGCAGGCGATTAGGGATCATCTCAGAAGGGTACTGTGTTGCTTTGCGTTATTTCTATAGCTGAGCAGCTAGACCAGTCTTCTCTTCAAAAGCCTCTTTTTAGTGCTGTCCTAGCACACTTAAATCTATAAATTTTCTCCCATAATCTTAGAAATAAAGCAGAACTCTAGAAAATTCAGAGAGTATACAGTGATGTAGTCCTAGAATGAGTTTCTTTGGTTTTCCCTTAATAATCTGTGGAAGGAGGCGGCAAATAGAGGAGGAATGCTGGATTTTGGCCTCAGAAGTAATTAATTTTAATAAAGGAAGTTTCCAAGGCTTCCTTCTCTGGCCAAACAAGTGGCAAGACGGACTAGTCCTAAATTAAAGCTTGTAAGAAAGGACAAGCAGTTATCCAAGGAACTACAAAAAGGATCTGTTTCCTTTTGGAAATAAGAGCAGTTTCTTCCAGACTTGAAACTAAGCCAGAAAAAAGTGATTTTAGAAGCAGACTTTTTGAGGAGCATCCTGAAACCTTTTGCAGGAGTGTGATGTACGCTCAGTATTCTTTGAATAATTCTCTAGAACAAGAGAACAAGGCAGAAACAGGAGTGACCCGGGGTTTACAGTAAAAACAATGATCTGTATCTTAAGCCAGATCTGTGACAGGACAAGGAAAGCTAGTTCCTCACCAGCACAGATGATAGTGCTTTAAGGAATGTAAGCAAGCCATTATATAGACAGCCTTGTGTGAAAATCCAAGGCATTAAGAAGCTAGCGTACTGATATAACTAATTACTGTAGGAGAGAAATGCAACTAGGTAACTGAATACACCAAGGAACAGAGGAGCTGCTAGAAGAAATCCCAGTGCAGAACAACACATGACTTCAGGCTGACCCTTGCTCTGGTGACTCAAGTGGAGTGAAGTGTCAGGTAGTTTCAAAGTGCTGGATCAAGATGATGTCAGAACAAAGAATCTCTCACTTCAGCATTAAGTGCAACTCTCATCACGTGTGTTTTCCTTTATCCGGTTACTGGAAGGAGGTGGAGAAGTAGGGGGGCCAGGAAATCTCTGCCAACTTCAAAGCATTGGAAAACCTGCTCAAGCAGTTATTTCATCAAGAACAGATCTCCAACACAGTGTTAGCTGGCTCGTGCTCAGACAAGCTCTAAGAGCTATTATGTCAGTCTTGATCAGCCAAGATGCAGCAGGCATGCTACGTTGCAAACTAGGTAGTCAGTCTGTCCTTGATGATCTCACCTTCTTCATTTGCGGGCAAAAAGGAAGAAGGAGAATATATACATATTCTGTGCTGTGCATGAAAATAAAATATACCTAGTGTCTTGTGGTAAGGAAGGAATCTAAAGAATGATTTCCTTGAATGGAGAGTTGTTTCTCAAGGCACTATCCTGTCAACAGTTCTGCTTCTATCGGAAGTTAGCAAAGAAGCTAAAGCATTTGGCCAAAAGCAGGGGTGCCATTTGCTGTTCACTGCATTTGCCAGGAAAAGGAAAAGGACAGGCCTTGGGTGGTCCTTCACTGTCCAGTCCTACCAGATTATACCATGACTCTGAACCTACTACCTGAAAAAAGTAATAATATAGTCTGTCTCAGAAAAATTAGCATGTGATATGTAGGCAGTCACATTTGAAATGTGTTGTTTAGAAATTTAGTACTTTTTTCTTTTTGAATAAAGTATTTTACAGTGATGCTTGAGCCCTGGTCTCCCTATTTCGAAAAATGGTAACTTGTTAAGTTAGGCAGAACAACTTAATGCAAAAACCATATTTTTCATTTTCTTTTCTTACATTAAAGTCTTAAAATAACTTAAAACCTCAGATTAGTGAAAGCAAATGGTAAGCATTTTTAACTTAGTAAAGATAGCAAAGCAGGCACTAGACTGTGCTGAAACATAAAAAGCACTTCTGGGAACTGCAGTATTTCTCAAATCTACATTAATAAGAATTCCCTCTTGTCAGAAGTGCTCATAGATTTTTCTGTCTTTTAAAGTTGTTATTCTGGTTGTATTTTGTTATTTTGGTTAGCAAGAAATACTTTTGGAGGCTAAAGTTTTATTAGAAAAATTCTTATGAATGCAACATTGTACTAATAAACATAGCAGCCATTGTTTTCAGAAGAATCACAATTATAGCAGCTTTTTTCTTTCCATTTGTCCCCCATCATGCAGAACACCTCATAAATCATAGCAAGCACTGTTATAATCTTCATGTCAGAGAGCTCTAAGGTCATCAAATACAAGAAACATTTCAGAAATTCTCTCAACATTTTTGGGCTATAACTATTTCACGTGGCTTATAAGCAGTTTATAGGCTTTGCTTCTTGTGCTATTAACATGGTCCATTTCAGAAGTTTTCAATAATAAAGCATTTTATCCCCTCCATCTAGAAATCTCTCTCCTTTTCTGGAGCAATTAATTATCCTGGCCTGAAAGGTCAGATCCAATACGCAAGAAAAGTTTCGTCCAGTGCCCACTGGAGTTTCAAAACTTCACAATTTCACAATTAAATTCTGTGCAAGTGCCATCAATTTCCTATTACTGGAGAGAGAAATTCAACGTGGGATTTTTTTTAGTAAGTTTTTCTTTGGCTTCCCTGCCTAGTGAAATACTGTATTTGAACATTGAAAAAGAGGGAGTGAGTAAAGAAGGCAGCACACTTTTCCTTGCTGGAATGTGTCTGTTCTTTCAGTAATAAAGACTAGAGGTCCAACTCATACAGTAGTAGGATAACAGTTTTGAAGGAGCTTTAAATGTACATACTGTCTTCCCTTTTCTTTGCTAGTCAAAGTGAGATGTCCTACAGAAGGCAAGCATTGCTGTGCAGTTGGAAATTATTATCCTAATATCTTGTTCTAAGTTGCTTGTGATGGGAGGTTGGCAGGACTTTGACTCTTTAAACAGTTTGACAATGTCTTGAAAGAATTGAGGCCATGGTGGCATTTCCACTCCTAGCCTGCTTTGGCTGGCAGGGTTTGACATCTGCCACCAAACAGCTGCAAGCAAGACAAAACCCACACTTAATGGGCTTGTGGATCTTCTCGGTAGAAGGGAGATCTCAGGCAAGTTAGTTTCCCTTTCGCCCTTAGTCCACTCATGCAGTTGCTGTGGGTGCCACTGGGCTGCTGGGCAGCTGCAGATGAGCAGAGAAGAGTTTCAAAACATATTTTGTAAGGAAAGGGTGCTGGGTCATTCGGTTCAACCCTGCGCAGTAACAGCCTGTCATACAAAGCCATTTCACTGAGGAGGGGCCACAGAACAGTGACAATACAGTCTTCAGGTGACCCCCTTCATAAATCTCCTGCCTGCATAATATTTCTAACCCACAGTAACAAGCATTATACCTATAGTTAAAGGCAAAGAGTTATAAACATTCTCTAGTGGTATGTAAACTGTAATTAAATTGTGATCTTCCTACCCATTTTTCATGTTTTAAAAGAATCTTACCTCTGTCTGACAGGAAAATAATTAATGTTTTTGTAATTGCATAAGGAAAGTAACACACAACTGCCTCTGCTTGCTTATGGGTCAGTGTTTAACTGGTTCCATGAGTTTCCTGTTTTAAAATAAAAAAAAAAAAATCAGAAATATGCTTTTACTTAAGAATTTATTGTATTAGAGATTAAGTTCATACCAATTTTAGATTAATTTTAGGTGACTCACCCTATGCAATTGCTGATGACTTACTTGTAAATATAGTAAAGTAACTCTTGCTTCCTTCTTACATATAATTTTGAAGTTCCCATCAGTATCTTCTGACCAACCAATAGCCTTGTCTTCTGACCATGTTCAGTTTTTCAGTTGATGTGCAGTAAGAAATAGAAGCCACAAGACTGCAAAGTGCAAAATACTTTCAGCTCCTTGTAGTCCGTGTGATCAGCAAGTCAGCATACAGAGGACTGGCCTTACTGTGTTATTCTGTGTAGCCTAGTTCTGATGAAACTGTGTGTCTATTCCAGGCACTACTGGAGAAGAAGAATAAAGTCAAGGAGCCAAAGAAGCCCCTCCGTTTCCTGGAAAAAGTACAAAAGCCTGTTCCTCGGCCACCCACTCCTATCCTGGAAAAACCATCAATTGTAAGTGGGCTGGTTTTAGCTCTCTTATTCCTGTTGATCCCTGATTGTTTCCTACACGGTTGTTAAAGGAATGCTCAGAAAAGGAAAGAAGTGAGCTTTATCTTTTTTGTGTCTGTTCATGTTAGAAATAGCCATCACTATTTCTTAAGACTCTCTTAGTCCCTACTTATTCTGTAAAGATACTAGCAGCCAAAGAATTGAAAGTCTTTTACAATATCTGGTGGCCAAAACCTTAACTAAACTTTATTTTATAATGACATAAATTAGTGAACATATTATTCCCTTGTTCTTGGAGAACAAAAAGGCACAATCATATTATTATAGTAATTATTATTCAGCGTCTTTCAACCTTCTGATCTGACAACATTACCATAACCCAGCAGAGCAATGAAGTTTAGTCACATTGAAGTCAGTGAGACTTTTGGTGCTTAGCACTGAGCATGCACTTCCTTAATTTGCTGGAGTAAAGCTCTTGTCATCATGTGGGATGCAGTCTTTGATGAGCATGCTCCAGTTCACAGAAAATTATTCTTCTGCAGAGACTGAAACAGCAGTAATGATGTGTCACGGAGGATGTGATATGCTGTAGGAAAAAACAGCTTCTTAGGGGAGCTGCAACTTCATTTCCTTTCTTAGGGTAACGCACTTAAGAGGTGGTTGCCCCAGTGGATTGCTTTGTCTTCTTAGTAACACCATTTTCATGATGTAGTAAGAATCAGACACAATTACCATTTAAACTTGTGAATTTAAGAGAGTCACAGAACCATGAAAGTGAGAGAGGGGAGGTCTCATTAGATCATCCATGCTGTCTTCCTTTGTGCAGTATGATGTCCTATGTTTTATATAGTCTATTTTAAGATAACTGAAATAAGAATATCTCCTTGGGAAGAGCTTTCCACAGCTTTACTGGCTCCTAGGTATTAGATATCGTATTGCAGTAGTAGATTTACACTATTTAATTTACCCGTTTAGCAGGTTTTAAGTACTTCCAGGTAACATGGAAGGAAATCAGAATGGTTTATCCCCCAGTTGTAGACGTTCTTGAGTGTGTTTACAGATTATAGTTTGTTTTTTTTAAAGAATTCCAATGCAATAGAATTCCACCTAAATTAATTCTGTCAACATTTGGTTTATTTTGAAGTATCTTATGTGTGAACACATAAAAGAGTGGAGTGCTCTGGTGAAGCTCCATCTGTAAAATCAGGCCACTTCAGCCACTGAAGAACAGCACTAAAATCTCCTGCCTTGCAGAATCCAAGTAAGGTTTCTCCTACCAGCTGGCTGCAAGGAGCACTGAAAGCAAGGCTCTTCTCTGTTGTTAATGCTTCTCTTCCTGCCATATAGAGGTACAAGTGCCAACTGCTAAGTGCACCAGCCTCTTCCCACTGGAGCTGAAGATCTCAAAAGAAAAGTGTGCCAGAGTGACAGGCGGGTGATGTGGACCACAAAGGATATTAAAAAAAATATGGAGACAACAGAAGCACTACTGCAGCCCTCCTCAACTCATCTCCCCCGGTCATGTCTTATGCACTTAATAGCCACAAGCTCACAGAGCGCCTCTGCCTTCCTTCACTGGTTTATCTCTTTCTCCCAGCCCCCTAGAGTTTTCAGCCTGCTCCTAGATCCTTCTATATCCTTAATTCCTTTTTTTTTTTTTCCCTGCATAGCATGATAGGCTTTCTTTCTCCCCTCATTCTTTCCTGCTGGTCTGTAGCAGGCAGATGGAGAAGCTGATAATTACCCTTGCCAAGGCATCACTTGCAGCACTGAACAACAGAAGTACAGAAAAATACATCCCACAAAAATTTAAACCAAATCTTAGCTTACGTCAAACCAAGCAGTTTGGCTTACCTGTCCTGTGTAGGTGCCATCTCCATTTCCAAAACTCTGTCCTGGAGGGCTTTCACACTGTAGCCAGGTGATATGGAACAGTTTAGCTCTGACTGGACTGGAAATTCATCCCTTCTTTGCAGAAAAAAAGAACATACCAAATTATAAGGCAGTCTTTGGCTGCTTTGCTCCTCCTGGGTGGTGGTGTGAGGAATGCTTCCTTTTGCTTTTGGAAAAATTAATCCACAACACCTAAGAAAAAGCAGATAGTAAGATTCAAGCCCACACCACTTCTCTCATCCCACACTCTTCCCTGTTTTTCCGGCACTTCTAAAATATCACATTTCAATGCAGACCTTGTAGGGTCTTTATTAAAAAATCTTCCTGGCAATTTTTAGATTTCTTTTTATCTTTCCCAGGCACCCAATGGGCTTTTTCCTTCTGCTATAGTCAACTCCAGACTAGAAGACCCCCCAGCAAGAAAAAATACTGCCAGCTGTGCTTCCACTATTTAAAATAAGCCTTTTTTTTTCTTTTCCTTGTATGGTCATGTTCACTTTCCCACTGTGCTCCATCATTCTTCCCAGCTGGTGTCAGTCACACAATGCTAGGCCAATAAAGTTCTCAAAGAGGCAAATCACAATATAATGTAATTAATTTTACTTCCAAACTATCACTTACTGAGTCTTAAATATACTGAGTTACTCTGATAAAGGTCACCACTGGAATAAATACAAAAAGAAAAATTGTATATGTTCCCTTTTAATTTAATCAATTATTTATGGTTAATGGCTCTCTTGCACCTCCTTCAATAATAATTGTAACCCCTTAGTGTCCTGAACTGTTAGATTGATGTAGCTGACACTCATTTTGCAAATTCGGATTCAGTCAAGCTACAAATAGTACTTCTAATGCATACAGTCATTTCTTCATCTGTATCTTCTTATCGTTAGGTAGTTGTCTCTAAAGACCCTCTAAAATCTCAAATAGAATCTAATTATGTGGCCTTTCTCCCTCATCTCTTGTAAAACATGGAAGTACGTAGTATTCTGACTCACCTTCCTTTTCCTAGAAATTAGAAGAATGGTGTTCAGAAACAACTAAGAAAAAGCTGGATATGAGACTTTTTGATAGCTAGATGAATAATCTATAGAAATCTCAGTCTTCAAAGAAGTAATTAATTGTTGTGTGGATGTTTGTTGTGTTTCGGCAGGAGGAAGAGGAAACGGAACTGGCAGTGATCTGCCTGCAGAAGTTGCTCCGAGGCAGAGCTGTTCAGAACATGGTATTCTGTGTCTCTTTAGGTCTCTCTTCAGAATGGTGGTGGGAAGGATTGAAAGCATGTTTGCAGTCTTTCCAGCCCAAATTTCTTACAGGAACTTCTAGGTTCCTACACATGTCTCTGAGTGTCTCCCTGTTCCTGCCATTCCCTACACTCAGCTATTTAATTACTTGCTTCACAGCAGAATTACTCAAATGGCAAATTCTAGACTAGATCTGGACCATGAATACGTTTTGCCTTGATTATGCCAAGACCCCAGGCACAAGAAACTTCCCACATCCTAGCAGAGCAGTTTGTATTTCATACCGTCTTTTCAGTTTCCTGGGATGGTGAGCTGAACCTTAGGTGAGGAGCCACGGAAGCATACCACCATGATTTCCAGCAAGTGCAGGACCCATCATTCTGCATTCAGTGGAGCAGAAGTGGGTGTAGGTAAAAACTGAGTAGCCGTGCCTCATGGGCTTTATATTGTGCAAGTCTACCACTTTTGATAAGACCAGTCCAGAAGGTTTGTTTTCATGCCTGATGAGAATATAATTGATGTTCTCTCTTACACTATTTAATGTGTGTGAAGTGTTCCTGTGTGGGACCCTGACCTGAGCTTTAACAAACAATGCAATACTGTGAAAGTGACTTGAGGTGGAGTATAGACTTCCCAAGTCTTCTCCAGTTCTGTGGTGATCTATGAGACAGATGTTAGATGACATTGCAGGACAGTTGACTTTCACATCATGAAATGTCTCATCATTTTAGAAATGTCCTTCCAGTTGCTACTGGATCAAAAATATATGACTCAGTTATATATGAGAATGACGTGAGCAGGGTTGAGTGATCCTTAGTTGCTGTTGGAAGTCCTGCTGGAGGAGAGGGGGATTGAAGATAAGGCAATGTCAGGGAAGAGCTGGACCACGTAACCCCGTAATAGGGGTAACAGCAGTTTCAACAACTTCCCCACCAATTTACTGCTTTGAGCTGTTGCTGGACTCCCTCAAAATGAAGGTCAGAGAACAGTAGGTGTTGAAAGAGGAGACATCTAACCCTGGACTGAGGAAAAGGGGCGATGCTCACACTGGGAAGCTTTGACATGGAGGCTGATGTAACAGGATATCCAGAAGGCAATTGCCCTTTTCACTTGACATTGGTGTTGCTGTTTCGCATTCCAGTGGTTTGAGTTCTGGGTGAAGCCAAACAGAAAAATAATAATAATAATAAAGTAAAAAGTAGCAAGGGATCATCTGTACTCCACAGCAGAAGGTCTCAACTTTCATCTTCTATGCAAGAGGGTTTAGGCAAGATTTACCTGACAGCTATAGTGTTTGCCTAAATGCGGCCACAAATTCATTACAGAGAACTAGGTCTTGGAAACAGCTGACCTTGCAGCATGGAGAAAAAGGGCGTGCTCTGCTGGCAACACAGGTTGATCTGTATTCTCCATTTAATATGCTTGGTTGTTTAACTTTATTTTAAAGATGTTTGAGGGGAAGGAGAAGCGGCTGGAACTGATCCAAGAGCTGCGCACCACTCACGCACTCCAGAAGGATGGACAGCTGCTGTTGAAGGCAGAGAAGCAAATGACACTGGCTCTACAGCAACAGCATGACTTGAAAATGCACAAGGTTTGCCTGGATAGGTGGGAAGGGTGATTCACAACGCTGTCCTGACCGTGCACTCTGTGCTTGTAGTACCACCAACACTCTCGCATTTAATCTCCTTTTGTTTTCTATTATACACAGCACAGAATGCACCCCAAGTAACAAAAATGCTCTCCTAGCACAGGCCAAGCATTGAATGCCTGAGGGGCTAAAATTGCTCTCTCACTGCTGTGGGGGCTCTGGGGAATCTCAGAAATAGACTGGGGCCCCTGATCACAGCTGCTACCCAGGCTGCTCTTGCTTTGTTTGCAGACAGAGCGCTTATTTATGTTTACAGGGCTTTGAACAAACTGCACTGTCAGACAAACCGCAGTTTTCCCACATTTCAATCCATTTGACTGGTGCTGTGACCTGGCATCACAATACATGCTTGTCACTTACATCTGTCAGATGTTTTACTGAATGTATGTTACTGCTCTGTCATTTCCCTGTTCCCTTTCTAGCTTGACACCCTCTCAGGCTCCTCCTCAGGCATAAAACATCACAAAAGAAGCCAAAGTGGACTCACTTTGTAAATCTTTCTGGGCTCCAGACTGCTAGGACCTTAGCAATGGTGTCACATTGTCGTACTTGTCACTGTTCTGGAGAGCAGAGAAATTTTGGGCTCCAACCTCTGCCAAGGGCCTAGTGAGAGCTGGGGAGGCAAATTCCTATTCTATTATTTCCTTGCAGGGCCACAGCCTTCCAGAGCAAAGTGAATCAAATGGCAGATGCTGGTCTGAAATGGATCATAAAGAAATTTTGTCCAGACTTTATTGCATCTCAGATATACTGTACCTCCCACATTCCTGCAGATTTTCCTGTCATTTTTACTACTCCTGTTTTTTTCAGTGACCAGCTGTGAGGCAATTCTCCAGGTTACAGATTACAACAGCATCTGCTGGCCAGCTGGCCTGGCAGAGGTGAAGCCAGACCACTGCTTTCTGCTGGGTGGGCAGAAACAAAATTTCGCCTCAGATCTCAGTAAAAATTGAACTGGGTGACTGCGTTTTATTGCTTATCATTTCCAGATGCTCCTTCCACACAGGGAGCCCAGGTGTGGAATGCAGGAATACAGAATTTTTCTACTGAGGAGTTAAGAGAAAAATAAAAGCCTTAGGCACTAGGAACTTGAAATGCTCCTTGTCTTCTGGAAGCCCAGGTGACAGTGAAGGAGAGAGCAGTTCAGACACCATAGAGAAGGAGAGACAGCAAATGGTAAAGATGCTGACCTCTGATCTCAGAATTTCCTTTTGGGAGAGCCACTGTCCCCCTCTGCTGGTATCTGCCTCCTCTACTCCTGCTTTTTTGTTTTTTTTTACGATGTCTCTGAAGGCACACAATCCAAGGCTCAGCTCTTCAAACATTTTGAACTTTAAAACTCTCTAGAATGCTAGTGAGGGAGTTTTCTCTGTGCGTGGCGGTTTTAGAAGGTCACTGATGACTCACAGTTCTTTAGTTTTTGGTGGTCACAGGCTTTTTTCGGTTTTTACTTTTCCCATATAAAAAGGGGCATTTTTCTATAAATGCCTCCTGCAGAAAGAGAACGGAAACTCCAGATAAAATGGTTAAAGACGAGGGGCTGAATATTTGCAACCTCATACATAACAGAAGTCTAAGACAAGAGTGTTGCTGGGTTGTTTTCCTCCATTTCCCACTAGTTGGAGCAATAAAGAGGGAGCAGCATGTTAGTTCCATGTTATACCTCCCTGTGGACTGGTGCAGTTACTGCATTGCCATCCTCCATCTTAAACACCCATGGGCTGAGCACTGTCACTTTTAGATGTGTGCAACACTGACAATCCCACTTCTTTGGAAACTCTGCACGAGCAAATGGCACAGCAGTAGAAGAAAACTGATTTATTACTACTTGTCTGGGATATTTCAGCTCCATTTGAAGTATTACGTTCAGGTCTACTCTGTTACTGCCTGTTTATTCCAACAGAGACACAGCATCCCAGCCAGTTCCAGTCATTCGCTCTTGCCAAAGACTGTGGCTTCATAGTCCATACTGGAGATAATGAACTTACCATAGGTCTTGATCCTTCCTGAAGTGCAATCACACATACCCAACCCATAAAACATGATGTGCTTGGAACAAGGAGTGAATGGCACAGTAACACTGGACACTTGGAATCTAGTCTCAGCTCTGTCATAGACTTTCTGATTTTCCATTACCTGGAATTTTTAGGTCTCTCTTGCTCTTCTGCAAACTCAGTGTAATTGCTGAGGATTTAAATTTGTTAGCAGTCAGTAACTTGTACAGTTTTAGGTAATAACTCAATACCTAAAAGTGTAGGGACTCCCTGCTTCTTGCAGGGGGGTTGGACTAGATGACCTTTAAAGGTCCCTTCCAATGCAAACTATTCTGTGATTATCTCAGCAAGCTGAATCACTTTGGTCCCATCACAAATGTCCAGCCAGATACATACCATGTCACTGAGATGGCTTTGAACTGTAACAAACATTTTGTATCCTTAGGAGAGAATAGAAATGTGGCAGTACTCAATTACACGGTTACCTAAACCTTTACTCAACCTTCCTGCTCATAAAGATTGAGGGTTTACTTTCCACATGCTAGAAAGAATCTTCATTTGCAACTTTTGATCCTAATTTTCTGTTCTGGTCTAGCTAAGCTTAGCACAGAAAGATGGAGGGTATGCAGCTGAAGTAATTTCGTTGTCACTTTTATAGCTCCCCTTTCTTGGTCTGGGCAGTAGCAAGCAGATGGCCTCAGCAGCTATTCTGGTTATACTCAGCCACAAAAGCGGTTCATAATACCTGCAATACAGTGTGTCAGGTGCTTTATCTGCTCCCACCCACCCAAGCGTAGGGGCTGCTTGTCCTAGTGTGACAGTATTGGGACTATTCCCGCCCTGATGGTTTTGCCATCTTTTAGCCTCATTATGCTATCAGAGCCTCTGTACAGGAGCATACATTATGCAGAGCCCAGGCCAGCACATGTAAAACAAGAAAAGTGCAAAACTCCTAGGATTGTCCCGTGGTTGGTCTGAGTGGATGTTGCAGAGCTGTTTCACATGCCTGTGGTAGTCCTGGGGCTTTGAACAACATTCCTGGGGGTTGTAACACAATTCTTTGCATTTTTTTTTAAAAGCTGTCATCAGCTGAAAACCACTTGGCCAGGGAAGAAGGAAGGGTACTGGCGAACATATTTGATTTCCTGTCCAAAGAGCTGGTGAGGCTGCAAGAAGAACGGAAGATCCACGCTTTTGTCATGCTGGCTGAGAGGCAGAGGCGGATGCGGGAAGCAGAGGAGAGCGGACGTCGTGAGGTGGAAGAGAGGCGGCGTCAGGCAGAAGATGAGATTTTCAAACAGGCAAGAGAGGGAGGCTGGTGGGACTGTGGGTGGTCTGTAGGAACTGCCTCCTTGTGGGAAGGTCCAGATGGAAGGGAGGTGCTTCAGCTCTGACTTTGGTGACAGCTAGTCTTAAAATTGAGGGGGAGATCCTAGTGAAGAGAGGGTGATTCCTTCCTAAAAGAGTCATGGCCATCAAATGAAGGATGATCTGAATACCCCTATAAGACAGCACTGTTAGGCATATCATGAATGGATGTAGGTTTCTAAATTTCCACAACAAATGCCTGTAGAGAACAGATGTATCTAGATCATCTTTAGGAATGATGTTTTGTCAGGACTTGGTCTGTCCAGCAGAACTATTAAGTGCTTTCCCAGGAAAGATGCCTTTAAACAAGGTTTTGGAAAGATTTTGCCCCCCAAAAGCGGACTGCAGCTAACAAGAGGTACAGAATATATTTTGAAGTAATGATAATGAATAAGATAACTTTGAAATCCAGAAACAAAAATCCTGAATTACCATTTTCCATAACTGTTCTATAGTCCTATTCATGTTCCCTAGCTCCTGACTGCATGAAGCGTATTCCTTTCTCCCAGTTGAAAGGAAGGAGTGGGAGCCTAATTGACTAAACCAATGATTTTCAAACTTTGTGGGAGGAGGTTAATACAGAAAGTCTGGCATCGTGTTTATTTTTCTTTTAATTTTAGTTGCTCCTCTTATGTTTTCTGCATCACTGAGTGGGGAGCAAGGAGGGCCAAAGTGCCATGAGCTTATGCCCGTCACACTAGCAGAAGGAAAACACCCATTTCTAGAATCTCTGCTCCACAACCATACAAGGAAACCAATAATTTTATCTTGGTTTAATTTATGTTATTTTGACTGGCTTGATAAAACCTTTTCCTTCAGGATTTGCTTGAATGAAGCTGATTAATTTACAGAAGTTATTTGGCAGTTGTTGCTCAGGGTACCGTGAGAACTGAGGAAGCAACTGCCATTGCGTTCACGGAACTAACCTGCTGCAGCAGAACTGGATCTGCCGAGAAGTTTTTCTTCCACCAACGGTTCTTTCCTGCACTTCTTTCTATTCAATTAGTTCTCAGAAAGAATGATTAGAAAATAAACTTTTACATCAGTTATTCTTCCCAGAAAGCACCTCTGAAACCAAATCTCAGGCTGGCCTGTGTGAAATGAAGGGTCTGGTGAAAATCTGTTGTTATTGCTTCTTTGGAAATCCCCTTCCACCACGCTCCTGGCATAGCAATAGGCAGAGGAACAATGTCTTGGTGTTTTGTTCCAGGTGGTGAAAGTGCACCAGAGCACTATTGAATCCTACTTAGAAGACATAATCCTGAGCAGCATGGAGAGCACAGCTGAAGAACAAGCCAGGGAAGAGATTCAGAGAATGGCTGTAGAAATCAATGACATTGCTTACGAAATGGAAAGTCGGTACGTTATTAAACGGCACATTAGAGGCTGTTTACAGCAGTTTAGAAGCTGCCTGACCATCTGCATCTGTGGTTACGTGTGTAATCTAAGACCTGGGAGGGGAAGAGCAATACTGTTTGTGATCGCTTCATTAGTGTGACTGCTGTATGGGAACCACACTGTTACTACCTGGTACACACGCAGAAATCCATCAGAGCCTTTTTTCTATACACCATGTGCCAGATTCCCTTTGCAAATAGCTTGTGGGATCTGTGAATCACCCTTTTTAGACTTCTCCATGCCAATGTGATGCTGTGACTGAGCTTTGAGTGAATCTGGGAACTGCCTAAAGCAATACCTATTCATACTGGTCTTTTCATTTATTTACACTACTACAAAAAATCGGTTTGAAAGAGATGCTAAAAGATACAGCTGTACAGCAGTCTTTCATTCTGGGGTGGCTGTTCTTTAAGAAACTGCCAGTGTCCATGGGGGTCAGTCATGTTGATGGCTGCCTGACAAGGCACTTTGAGTGGAGTAAGTTGTTGAGAACACCACAGTCTTGTGTTTGGATGGGGCATCAGCAGTGAATACTTTTTAGGACCTGCCAAACCTCCGGTTCAGTTTCTATGCTTTTTTTTTTGGAATTGAGCCATAAAAATCCCAATGACACAGTGACTCTCCTATGGTACAGCAGCTGTGTATTTTGTAACTAGATGAATACAACCAGAATGTTGAAATCCTTGGGGAAAGTGAAGCGTAGATAATACATGCAGCCCCTGGGCCAACTGGGAACCCACCAAACACTGGCATGGAAAAGAGCATGGGGCCCAGCCAAATGCAGAGTCACAAAAGGGAAGAATTTAGCAAACTCAGCAATGGGCCAAAGACTAAATTGACAAAGATGCAAGTCCTCAGAGGTATCTGCCTAACTCAGTTTGCTATCAGTGAGATCTGGGCTCCTAAACGCCTTCGAGGATAAGGAGTCTAGAGTGATCTTCTCCCCGGAAATATCGCCTTCCAATGCAGTGTTGAACACATCGGCAGTGCAGTGCAAAGGGGAATAGTCACACTGTCACCTGCTTGTAGGATAAAGAGAGACCCAGCTGACAATTACTTCCATGACAATACACTCCCTTGAAAATAGTGAGAATATTTACAAGGGAGTCTTGCGTTTGTAGAGATGGTCTGGAAAGAATATTAAAATACTAATAGTGCTCTGCGTCTGTTCTGTAGCCGAACTCGCCTACAGTCAGAAGAGATTGTAGCAGAGCTGGTTTATGATTTCCTGATTCCAGAAGCTGAGAAAATGGCAATCAGAGAAAAAGGTAAGGAGTCCAGTGACTTTATTCTCTTCATGAACTCATTCACTTGCCTCACTCTACCTCATTGAAAGATGCAGTGCCAGGAGTTGTCTCAGTTCTCTGAGATTCCTCTTTTGCACTCTGGTGGTAGAAAAAGTTAAGCCCTCTGATGCTTTTTCACCATTTCTCATGAGATTTAGTCCTTTAAAATGGTGGCCTGAATTCAGACCTGGTGTAAATTTGGTGTATCTATCTGCGACAATAACACTACATGAGAAGAAGCAGCCCATTGCACCTTCAAAAACAAATCGGGAAAAGTCTCTAAGTAGCATGGCTGTGAATAGTCCATTATATGACAATTTATAAACACTGTAGAAGTCTTTAACAGGCAGATTAGTTAAATATAATCCATGTGTGGAAGCAAGATTATACGCTTTCGTATGCTTTCCCACTCCTTCCTCAATGGATTGAGAGCTAGAAGCAAAGATAAAGTTGTAGGGTTGGCTGTAGTGGCATCATGTTTTAAGTAGATACTCTTGCAGTTGTGAGGGTTGCTGCTGTTTAGCCAAAATGGAGCAGAATCTGCCAAAATACAGAGGGGAAGGCCCAGGAAACCTGGGTATTACATAGAGTATCATGAATAAATGGCTGTTCTTAATGGGGATGTTTCCACTGACCAGCACACTCAGAAGACCGTGACTAAACCAGTCACCCATAGAAAGTTGGTATAACCTAAGAAAAGCAATTATATCACAGTAGAGTCTGAGGTGGTCCTTGCCACAGTGTACTTCTCTGACTTGAGAACAAAGGCACTTACTTCATTGATTTTTCTGTTGCTTTGTGAATGAAAACACAAACCCTGCAAACACATTTTGTGGTCTCTGAATTGTGCAAACTTTTTTCTTCCTAGTTTGTGTGTTTGTCACAACAACAGTATCTATTCAGCAGCTGGCAATTCTGCATAAGCTTACATCGGCTCCCTTCTCCTTAGCCCTGCTTCTACAAGCCTACCAAAGCAGCTGAAGTAGTTTTAGTCAAAGAAGCCTGCAGCTCGGGCAATAACACACACAGGTTAGCCTGTCTCGGAAAGGAGAACAGAAAGAGACCTGGAGATTGCCTAGGATTCTGGACATACAGAGGTACCAGCAAGCAAGAAAATATGTACTGGGCTTAAATGCAACAGCAGCTGATGAACAAAGCAGCTCAGAAGCACTCCCAAGCAACAAAGGAAAAAAATCTTCAAAATCTGTGATAGCTACGGTGGGTTTGCATGGAAAGCAGAGCTAGACCCAGGCAAAAATTAAAGTGGATGCTGAAGGAAGAGCTAGAGCAATGGGTGATAAAGACCTCCTTCAAACGTGGTCAGGTGAAATTGGCCACAATACTCTTGTGACAGCAGACATCGAGTGTGAGGAAGAGACTTGGCTCATAGTCTCTTCTGCTATTGCAGCATGGGGTGGAGAGGACTCCGTACACTTAAGAGAGCTGAATTCTACCAAATGTGTGCTCTGATGAACACAACCTCCTGCACAGTGATACCTTCAAGGAAGCCGAATCCGTAACTATTCCATGTAAATCCAAAGAAAATACTATCATGAAATGGCATGAGATCTCACGAGCACATCAGTGTATTGCATTTCTGTGGCAGCTTTTAGAACTTTCCCTATAGTGAGCCAGATTATTCATTATGAAACTGTGTTATAGCAACCTGGCGTGTGCTTGGGCATACATCTTCCTTGAAACCAGCAGGAAGCGATCTGAGAGCACAGCTGTCTGGCCTGCCAGAGGAGCAAATCCATTTGTAGAACAAAGATTTGAGGGCCTGCAAGTTCAGTCTTTGTCTACATTTTAGCTTCCCTGTAAACATCTCCATTTTGCCATTACCTAGTCTTTTCTTCTCTCTTTTTTTTCCTCCTCCTCTTTTTGTTGCATTCCTATGCATAAAAGCAGGGATTATGCAATACTGGCTCATCTTCAAACCTCTGTAACTCACTTCTGAACCCTTTCTCCCTGGAAGTAGAAGTCAGTGTGCTTTTATGAAGATATGAAGCTTTTGAAAGGACAATTACTCACCAATTTGAGCCCGCTTTCTTTTAGATGGTAGTCATTGTGGATGGAGGAAGGGACTGCAGCCAATACCAGGAGAGTATTCCCAGTGTAGTTGATGCAGTTCATGCGTACTTGATTGGAGCCAAAATGCCTTGGGTGGAGAAAGGTCTCCTGGGAACTGAGAGCTGGCAGCTGAAGGTCAGCTTTTCAAATGCAAGCGAGATCCAGTTGCATTCATTGTCGACAAAAGGGACCTGGGAGATGGGTAAAGATAAACAGGATGGGTAAGAAACATTGAGCGGCTGAGTCAGTGACAGTACGCAGAACTATGTGACAGCATGCAAGACACCGGTGGTTCAGATTCATGGTGAAGGTACAGCTCAGCCTTACAACGTCAACAGACCAAAGCAACAAGGAAGCCTTGGACTTCTGCGGGGAAGTGACATGATGAGAGCCACAGCTCGGTCCTGCACCATTCCCCACACCCTTCTTAGAAGCACGCAGTATTTCAGTCCCCGTGATTGTTTACCAGAATCCTAAGTCTAGAGAGGGAAAAAGAGAACAAAGAACACTGAAGAGCAATGAAGAGAATTGTAGGGTGAATGATTTGGCTTGGGAAGTTATTTCCGAAGAGGTGTGCCAGAAAGATATACAAATGAGATATTGGGTGAAAAATGTAAAACGAGGTAAAGACCAATCCTGCAGTAGCAAAAGGGAGACCATAAGGTAGGTGACTTAATGTGTCTATACTGTCTCAAAGTCTTACTCTGAACTTAGTAAGAATTTCTCAGTGCAGGCAAAATCGTAACATAGGAGAGGGCAGATATCAGCTCCAGTGTTCCAGAGACCTGCTGCAATTAACAGACACTGAAGGAGAAGTTGTTTTAAAGCCTGGTAACATGGGCAGTTGTGCCCTAAGTTGGAAAGGAAAATGCTTTGGCTGCTTCCCACCGTGGGGACTGGTCTTCAAAGTGAAATGCAGAGTTGGTTGCTGCTATTAGGTGGCAGTAGAACACTTTCAGCCAAAGTTAGAAGGGCGTAATTTTTTTTTTTTCCCTGAGATAGGCTTTTCCACAGCTGCAGGGAGGCTAAAAGCTATCCCTCCCTTCTCCCCTGCAGAGAACACTTCACTGTACACTTCCAAGTAAAAGCCTTACCTCTTTTTATGCGCAGTGAGGCAGTCCCAAAGAAAACACATCCATGCTGCTCATCAGATCATCCACAGGCACACAGAGAGGGTAATGGCTGATCTGGCACTACATCGGGAAACATCTGCCAGCGAGATCAAGGGCGATCCTCCTGCTGGGACAGCTGCTGGACGCAGCGCAGCTGACAGCACTTGCTCTGCCCCAGTTGCACGTGAACTAGCTAAACCTCTGTGTGAAGAAAGCCCAGGAGAGACAGCAGTGAACCCTTCTGATGGATCAGACAAGGATCCCACAGGCTGCTAGAGACAGAAGATGAGCCAGGTGAGTTTCCCTTCCCCTCTGTGATTTGAGCTTGGAGCATGGTGAAGGGAAGGGAAGCACATTATATTTACTTTTTTTCCGGCCACCCAGAATGGAAAATCCCCTCTCTCCCTTGGGCTGTCCCTCGTGCTGCCTGCCAGCAATGCTGTCCTGGAACCACTCTGTGTACGTTTTGGTGTGGCAGTCCCAGTCCAGCCCGCTCCACCCCCTCCCCAACTAGCTCTGGACCTCATTAGCTAATTTGCCTCTTCTAATTATTATGAAAAGCTTGAGTGAGAAAACAATGTTAGCATCCTTGTTTGTTTTCCTGTCGCAGACTATAAAGACCTGCACCTGGGCATTTTATGATATTTCCTTGCACCAATAACATTAAATGAAAAAATATTCCAGCAGTGGGAGAATGTGAGCTGAGACCATACGCAGAGTCTTTTCTCAAGCATGTGCCACTGATTTCCTCAGTGGAGCGAAGCAGAGTGACTTTTTGCGTTAGCACTGCTATTAATAAAGGGTTGAAGTTGAATGAAAATGGTCAGATCTTGCATCATTTTTTTCACATTATTAGTCCTTGCATAAAGAAAAAGCGCCCTTGACCTCAGCAAAGTGGTTCCTGCCAACCAGGCAGTGTCTGGCACGAAGAACTAAGGCTGGGTGATGGCAGAATGACATGGCGGGGGCTGATGCAGCTTGTGCGAAGAACCCATTAGCCGCTGCTTGCGGCTTTTCCAGAAATGTTACTCTTTGGTCTGAACTCTTCTTGCTTTTTATCGTCCCAAAGGAGAACAATTCTGGAAAGAATCTTATTTTTCTGAGAACGGTGTTAGTCACTCTGGCTTTCCAGCTCCAGGGGACTGTGCAGAAAGGCTGCTGCCTTTGCCTTGTTTGCGAGCATGGGGGTGCTCCAGCTCAGGATGTCAGGAATCAGCAGGCTGCAGACAGGCGCAGTGCATCTGATCAGAGAGCTGTCAGGGACTTGCTCGGCTCCCCAGCACTCACCTGTCAAAATTCCTGACGTCTGTGGGTTTAGCATCTGAGAGGTACATTTACACCGACATCAAACGCACCGGCTTTTGTAGGAGCGGGCGCAGGCACACCGCCACACCCGAAATGCTTACTCATCGATGGCTCCAACTTGCGCAACAAATGGCAGCATTAGCTCGCAGTGCTAACGTGACAGTGGGCTGATCTCTGCCTGCTTCCACCATCTCTCTGTAACTGACAGCCCGTGCTCCGCGCTGGCTCTGTGCAGCCTCAGGTGTGGTCCAGCTAACGGATCCTGAACACGGCGCTGCTCCTCCAAAACACGAGCCAGCAGCTGGTCAAAAATTCAGGCTCATTGGTGCACTCCAAGAAGAAAATTGTGTCAGGTTTCTGGTTTGTGGATTGGGCTGGGAGAGGAAGGGGAGTGACAGGGAGGAGAGAGAGAGAAGGAGGGGATAAATCAGTCTGAATACCACTGTATTCCAACAAGCTGTAAATAAGAATTGGACAGAGGAAAATGGGAGCTGCACCAAGAAACTACTGCTGGTCACCAGGCCACTGAACCCGGAACACCAGGTGACTGGTGGGGTCAGGCAGCCTCTCCAAGTACTGCAGAGCCTGGCAGGAGTCAGAGATGGGTGATGAGTTTCGGTTAGGACTCTGAGGATGATCCCATTAGGGTTTGGGGACTGGGGAAAATTCTCACCGCATACACAGCTATGTAGGGAAGGTAGCAAATGCAAAAAAATACAGAAAGAAACACTCTCCACAGTGTGGGAGGAGACGCTGCGCAGGGATCAGGTCTTCTGCCTCAGGCCACCTTGGACAGATTTAGCCTGGTTGAAAGAGCTGGGATAACTGAATCACGAGATCCAGTGTGGTGCGAGACATGGAAAACTTGGTGCAGCAGGACAGTGGAACAGGAAGACCGATCCATGGAGGCATTTACTGTATTTCTGAGATGGTATGTCAAAATAAACGTTCTCCATGGGGCTCGTTGCGCAATTTGAGGTGGCTTTAAAAAGGCCAGAAGTATTCCAACCGGTGTGGGAAGGGACGTAGGTTGCAGCATTCTGCTCCTCCGCAGGGATACAGCCCTCTGCATGACAGCGAGGGGGCAGGGGACTCCAGATGCCATGCACAGGCTGAGCTATAAATGTCTTGGCTTCTGTTATGATTTAAGGGACACCATCAGGGTAAAGCCATCTTTTCCACATGACATTGCCTGGCGGGTAGACTGAAGGCCGTGGCAGGATTCCTGCAGGAAACTCTGCTCTAGAAACTGCTTTCAGTTGCAATGTGCGGGGCTGGTTATTTTTTTTCCCCCAGCTTTGCAGAATGTGCTTTGAGAAAGAAAACCAGCACAGTGAGAGGGAACTGGGATTGTAAATCAACAGCACAAGAACGCACCATTCCCTCTCCTAGCAGGAGCCAGAACAGCCCTGGGGAGGAGCCGGTACCCGACACAAACGTGGCAGCTGCCTCCAGGGCTGCCCCAACACGGTGGAAAA